CACCCCCACCGAAATGAACGGGAACGCCCACCCGCTCTCTGCTTTCCCTCCAGCAGCTCTGGCTTACCCTCCCTGAGAAGTGTTTGTTCTCTCCTAGAGCTGAACTACTCCTGTTGCCCAAGAGCATTGAGACATCTGTTAAGAGCAAACGCAGTGCGGAAGCCTTGCTGCACTATCAGAAAAAAAACAAAACAGCGAGTTTGAATGATGCAAGGAAATTTTGAATTAGTCTGACAGCTGGACCCACCGCCTGGCTGGCCTGCGTCTGCCCTCAGTGCCTCCCAACCTAGGGGCATATATATTCTATACAGGTGCCAGTGTGGGAATTTGACTTTTGAGATGTGGGAAAATGCCCATGGGCAGCTGCTAAAGAATTTTGAGTAAAAAGTAAGTGAAAAGTTTAGTTATCTAGGTGTTTTGGCTTAAGCAGAGCCACAAACTGAAGGGAGAGTAGAGTTTTGAGGTTACGTATTCAGGCTCTGAAGTCAAACTTGACCGATTCCTCGTTTGTGTGACCTTCAGCTTCAAGAGGTGTTAATTTCCTTATCTGGAGTGAAGGTTATAGTCAGTAATTTGTGTAGAGCACTGCTTTAGTATTATTATTTTATTGACAGATGCAGTCTTTTGATCAAGAAACAGTGATATTGTTATTGGTGGAAGTGGGGGATCCCTTTCCCCACTGAGTGTTGGGGGTGAGGTCTTTATAATATCTTGAGAAAAAGAATTTTCTGAGACTCACATGGGAGGATTCATGATTTTGACTTGCGTGGAATTAGATCCCTGGGTTTCCACAGTCCCATTTCCCTTCATCTGGTCCTGGAAGAGGTGCAGCTGGGGATTTGGTAGAGCTAGAAGCAAAGCCAGTGCCCGGAGTTTCTGTTCCATGTTGGAATTGGGTCTGGTTTAGTGTTAAGCAGTTGCAATCCGTGAGTCCACTGTCTGGGGTCCACATGGCTGTGGTTGAATGCAGGGGAGCCAGGAAAGCATGCCCCCCGCAACAAGAGTTCCAAGAGAACCGAGAGCAACCAAGAGTGCAATAGAGCAAACTTCTTTGTGTAGGGGATTAAATATCTTAAATTTTCCCATGCTTGTAGTGGCCACCTCTGCTCTCTCTAGTCAATGACCTGTTCCCAGGTGTGACTGACAGGCGAATACCTTCCTATTTCACCCAGACTGGACCGGACATGCGTCTGTTCTTTCTCTGTCTGGTCCCTTCCCCCATCAATCTGTGGAGAACAGACTGGTGGCCCCTGGGGAGAGTTAAACTGCAGCTCCCTGGCAAAGCTGCACAAATGAATGCCTGTAAAACTTGGCCTTCCCTTTGCTCCCCTCCTGTTATTAATAACTAGGTTCATTACAATGGTATAATTACCAATATTTATGAGACTAGACTTTGTAATCTTCGTTTCATAATACCATTCTCTAGCCCAGCGATTTTCAACCGGTGTGCCACAAGAATTTTTAAAACATGCAATACCTGACTATTTAGTCCGGGGCCTCTTTCCCCTTAGATTGTCAAATAAAAAAAATGGCAAAGCCAACACAATAATAGCTGTCTGATATGAATTAATCAAAATTATACCTATTTTTTTCTTTGTCAAAAATATATTTTTTGGTGTGCTGCAGAATATTAGTAACCAGTTTATGTGTGCCATGAGATGAAAATGGTTGAAAATTGCTGCTCTAGCCCACTGAGCAAAGTAACTGAATACAGATATATGTTAGATACAAATCTAAAGGCCTTCAAGCCCTGGCCGGTGTGGCTCAGCAGTTAGAGTTGGACAACACACCGAAAAGTGCTGGGTTAGATTTCCAGTGAAGGGCACGTACCTGGGTTGCTGGTTAGATCCCAGGCCCCGGTCTGGGGAAGTGCAGGAGGCAACCAATTGATGTGTCTCTCTCACATCAATGTTTCTCTCTCTCCCCCTCTCTCCCTTCCACCCTCCCTCCCTCCCACCACTCTCTCTAAAAAGCAATGGAAAAAACATCCTCACATGAAGATTAAAAAAAATAAATAAAGGCATACAAAACAGTATTCAGCTACAAATTGTTCAGCCATAATTTTTGCTCTCGCTTTTTCTTTGTGTCCAACTTCTATGTTTCCTAGATTAACAAAGGAATACAGATTTTTTTTTTTTTTTTTTTTTTTTTTTATCCTCACCCGAGGATATTTTTCCATTTTTTGTACAGATAGAATGGGAGGGAGAGAACGGAAGGGAGAGAGAGTGAGAAACATCGACATGAAGGGACACATCGAGTGGCTGCCACCCGCACGACCAACCAGGGCCGGGGACAAACTGCAACCGAAGTACGTGCCCTTAGCGGGAACCGAACCCGGGTCTCTCCGGACCGCAGGCCGACGCTCTAACCGCTGAGCCAAACTGGCCAGGGCAGGAATACAGATTTTCAAAGAAAAAATACACAGAAAAATGTATGCATTTCCCTAAAGCAAGCATAGAATCATTCAAGTGCAAAAGAAAAATCATCGAGCCTGGCCAGTGTGGCTCAGTGGATTGAACGTGGTCCCATGGACTGAGAGGTCCAGGTTCCATTCTCCAGCAGGGCACATGCCCTAGTGGCGGGCTTGATCCCCAGTAGGGGGCGTGCAGAAGGCAGCCGATCAATGTATCTCTCTCACATTGATGTTTCTATCTCTCTAAAAAATCAAAAACATATTTGAAAAAGAAATCACTGAAAAATGATAGTACTTTGGGAAAGTGGAACCAAGTGGAAGATATACCTTAAAATGTGAGGAGTAGAAGATAGCGATTAGAAAGATAGTTTCTTCTAACATTAAATTTAATGAGGAAGATCTGCTTTAATTAACATGGTCATTGTTATGTTAAAGCTTAATTTTACAAGTGTTACACTTTATATATAGAAACCGAGTTCAGTTTGTTGATACCACTGATCAAAACATAACATTAGTCCAGCTGGTATCGCTCAGTGGTTGAGCATCCACCCATGCACCAAGAGGTCGCTGGTTCAATTCCCGGTCAGGGCACATGCTCATGTTGTGGGCCTGATCCTCAGTGGGGGGCATGCAGGAGGCGACCAATCGATGTTCTCTCTCATCAATGTTTCTATCTCTCCCTCTCTTTTCCTCTCTCTCTAAAATCAATAAAGGAAAAAAAAATTAAAAACCAAACAAAACAAAATCATAAATATATTTAATTTTAGAATTGGATCTATATGTGGTGGTCCATGTACTTGCAAATTATTTGTATCTTCCGTGACTATAACTGGTATTAAGATAATAGGGACATGAAATACAAAATTGTATAATGTTTCCCAGTTTTCCACACAGATATTTTTCTTTCTTTCTTGCTCATATAGTCAAAAGGTCTCATAGCTAGGAGTAGGATGACCAATAAAGAATAGCATAAAATTTAAATTTATCTTGAATAAATATAATCAAAATCTTAAGAATAGCTAACATTTACTGAGTGCTTACTATTTTATTTGCCAGACACTGTGCTAAGTGCTTTACATGTATTATTTTATTAAATGCTTATAGCAATAACTGGCATAGTAAGGAATATTAAGAAAGGAGAATTGAAATAAGAATTAAGAGTATAATTTTTAGAAGAAAAATTAAAATTAAATTTAACTTTGATAAAGAGGTCGGGTATATGATAAATGTGCAAAATCAAAATCTTTGTATTACTAATGATTGACTACAAATGAAAATGTTTGTCGGAGGAGCTCAGGGAGAGGATGTGACCACCATTGACCCATGAGTGACACCTGGGCAATCAGAGGCTCCTCCACCACCCACCCCACCCCCAGCCCACCTGTCCTTGGAATGCACACTCTTTACACCTGCCCCCACCCTGTTCCCACAGTGGGAGCTGTATCAAGGACGTAGCTTTGAGAGCACTGTGTTGTTGAGACCGTCTGGACTGTGCACGGGCTGTACCACGTCATAAACTTACGAGATTCTGACAGGCGAGTGTGGAGATCTCGTCTTGTAGCACTGAAGACAGCCTCGTATGCAGTCCCCTTGCTTATTAAACCGCCACTTGCCAGTCTGCAGTGGCTGCCTCTTTCTTCAGTCCTTCCTTGCCCCTCATGTAGGAGGGCTGGCTTCAGATTTCACTGGGGAAACTTCCCAGTATGTCTCAGTAATGATGGCCTCACAGCCTGTAAGATACTTAGGAACAAAACTAAGAAGAAAAGAAACAGGGTCTGCTTCAACTCAACAACACAATTTTATGAAAGAGCATACATCAAGGTCTAAAAAAATGGAACAGTATGCCATGGTCTTAGGGGAAATGACTTGGTATCATACAAATGCCAATCTTCCTAAAATTAATAGATGTTTGAGGTGATTGAAACCTCAATGCATGCTTTGGGTGGGAATTAGGACCAGATAAATTTATCAGTATGAGAAAAGTAAGGGGAAACTTATCAACTGACCCAGACTCATGAAAAATAAGTCATTGTTTTAAACCACTGAGCTCTGGGGTGCTTTATTATACAGCAATAACTAACTAATACAGAGATTACAGCTCATGTGTCTGAACTCAGTTATTCTCAGTAGCTGATGATAGCTGGGGAAATCTGGGCTGTGTTAAAAGTAAAAGAAAAGAAAGGAATCTAGAGTAGGAGCTAGAAGCTTTGTGACTAAAGGATCAATGCTAGAATCAATTAGAATAGTAGTGGCAAGATATAAAACATAATCAGGCAAAAGTGTATATTGGCTCAGCAGTTAGAGTGTCGGCCTGTGGACCAAAGAGTCTTGGGTTCAATTTTGGTCAAGCGCACATACCTCGGTTGTGGTTCAGTCCCGGGTCCTGGTTGGAGCAACCAATCTCTCTCTCTCTCTTTCTCTCTCTCTCTCTCTCTCTCTCTCTCTCTCTCCCCCTCTTCCCCTCCCCCTCTCCCTCTCCCTCTCCCTCTGCCTCTCTCTCTCCCTCTTCCTCTCCCTCTTCTTCACACTCTATCTGAAGATAAATGGAAAAGTATCCTTGGGTGAGGATTAAAAAAAAGCACAGTATGCATGGGTTTGGATTTATAGCAGGCCCGTCCCTCTGGGTCTCTTACTGGGCTCCATGTGGGCACATTGTGGCCTTGAACCATTGCCTGCCTGTGTCCATAGGCTGCAGACACTGAAGCGGGTTACAAAGTGGAAAAATAAATAAATACATACATAAATAAATAGTGTTGAATTACTGAACTATAAAATAAATATATATCCTTGATAAAATAATTAGGAAAAAAACACAGATAAGCAGGATTTTCTAGACTAGGAGCTGGCAAACGGGGACCTGGCTGGCTGCCGTCTCTTGAGTGAGGCCTACGGGAGCAGCTGCACACACTGGTGCGGCTGCTTCTGCCCCCCCCCCCCCCCCCCCCCCCCCCCCCCCCAGAGCTGAGTCGCTGAGGCAGAGGCCCTGGGGCCTGGAAAGCCGAAAGGATTTACTGTCTGGCCCTTAGTAGGGGAAGTGTGCTGACCTTTGCTCCAGACCAGTGATTTTCAACTTTTTCCATCTCATGGCACACAAATTAATTACTAAAATTCCTCAGCACACCAAAAAATACATTTTTTACTAATTTGACAAAAAAAAACAAAAACAAAGTATAATTTTATTTATTCACACCAGGCAGCTATTGTCGTTTTTTTATTTGACAACTGTCTTTTTATGCTTATTCCTCAAAACTTTACAGTCATGAAATAAATAATTCTGGATGACAAATACAAATATGCTATATGCAACTTCATAAATATGCAGTACATTAAAAAATAACCACAAAGTAATCTAGTCATTTCTTCTGTGATTAAGAATAGTTAATACTCTTCCCCCAGGAAAGCCTCCTTCATAAACATGTATTTTTTGCAATAATTTGCCCTGACCGGTTTGGCTCAGCAGTTAGAGCATTGGCCTGCGGTCTGGAAAGACCCGGGTTCGGTTCCCGCTAAGGGCATGTACCTTGGATGCAGTTTGTCCCCTGCCCCGGTTGGGTTGTGCGGGTGGCGGCCACTCAGTGTGTCCCTTTCATGTCGATGTTTCTCTCTCTCTCTCTCTCTTCCTCTCTCTCCCCCCCCCCCCCCGCTCTATCTGAACAAAAAATGGGAAAATGTCCTCAGGTGAGGATAAAAAAAAAATATTTGACAATTGAAGGGCAAAGAGATCAGAGCCCCTTACTAAATAGTCAGGTATTGCATGTATTAAAAATCCTTAGATCTTGGCCAGGTAGCTCAGTTGGTTAGAGCATCGTCCCAATACACAAAGGTTTTGGGTTTGATTCCAGGTAAGAGGACTGATAAATCAATGTTTATCTCTCCCCTTTCTTCTTTCTCTAAAATCAATAATAATTATTATTACTTTTAACTTTAAAAAATTGTTACAGCACACCAGTTGAAAATCACTGCTCTAGACTGACAATGACTTCTTCAGTATGGAGTTTCCACATCAAAGTGACTTACAGGCCTGGGGAATGGATCAACACATGCGCTATTAGTCTGTATATTTCACCTATGGTTCCCTTTCTCAACTTGGGGGGGTGGTGGCAAAGGGGAAGAGACCCTGAAACATCAGTGAATTTAACCCCACAAAGTCAAAGGTCAGGGTGGTAAATATTCAATTGCCTCCTATTATGAGAATGAGACTGGATGTCCCAATAATTAAGTGTCAGCCACCCATTCTGACTTGATTTGGGGCTATGTTGACTGAACTGTTTACTGATTTGCTCAGAGTTTTTAGTATCATGTTGATCCAGCAACATTTTTTTTTGGTAATGGGAACTAAAAATTTGTGAATACAAATAATTATATATTTAAAGTAGATACAATGCAGAGAATAAAAATAAATATGAATTTTAATAAGTGATCATTCCAATAGTAGTTTTTATACTTTTCCTTTCTCTCTCTCTCTCACTCTCTCTCTCTTTTTTGGTAATCCTCACCTGAGAATATTTTTTTCATTGATTGTTTAGAGACAATGGAATGGAGGGAGGGAGAGAGAGAGAAAGAGCTAAAGAGAGAGAAACACTGATGTGAGAAGACACATCAGCCTCCATCTGGAATTGAACCCGTGACCCTTTGGTGCACGGGTCAGCGCTCCAGCCACTGAGCCACAACAACCAGGTCAATTTTTTCACTTCTACACTTATAATTACCATCTGGGAAGTTACAGATCCACGAAGGTTGGTGAACTGAACATCAGCAGAAACACCAAATTATAGTGCTGACAGATACATCATCATGCGTGTAGTCAGGGTGCATGAGCTAAGGGTCCTGAGAGAATATTCACCTTTGCATTCCTGACTTTCATGTTTTAATTTGTAATCTGTGCATTGTATTAAACATTTTTCTTTGCATTTACTTTTCTTTTAAAGAATGAGAACAAAAGAAAAATTTTAATCTCCCAATCTCCCGATCGCCATATACCACATAATAGTTTCATTGGGCATCTTAAGTATTTTTTTATGATTTTTAATCTTTGGAATAACAGGGGAGGAATTTGGTTCCTTTTATTCATATCTCTAATGGATTAAAAGTATTATGCCTCAAGTGTGCATAAAATTTTTTCTCTTACTGCCAGAAATAAACAAAAGAGAACAAAGAACCTCAATAAAGAAAAGAAAATATAGTATAACCAAGAGACAAACTTGAAAACTCAGGTTTGAGTGATTAAAATGATATTAAATGGAAACTTTTCACAGGAAATCTTTTTAGAAAAGGATCTGGAGTGACAGCTCCTACTGTGATAACTCAGAGAGAGGTAAGTAGTACTGTGGTCAAAGCAAAGAACTCTGTTTACTCAGGAGTTGGGGGTATTATGTTAAATGAGAATTTTAAAAAATGTGAAAGTACTTATTCCATATAGGAGGTATTCAGCATATGTTTGCTTCCTTCCCTTTTGAGGTAGCAGTGTGAATTGTCGAATCTTCATTCCGCCTTCTTTACGGACAGGATCCCGACTGGATCCCGACTGTGTGGAGGTTGGCAATGTGCCAACCTTTAGGGACTGGATCATGAATCTTTTAGAGTGATCATGACAGTCTGCTCCCAGCCTCCTTACAGGTATCACTGGCCATTGGACCAAGTCAGGCCAGGAGGCCTGAGAGGAGTTCTGTGGGGTGGAGGCTTTGTTTTCCTCCTAACAGAGGGCACAGCCAGCCACCCAGCAGTTCCTCCTCGTGTTTGTCTGGTAGGCAACAGAATGCTTCCTCGACAAGCCTGTAACAAGATATAATGAATGGCATTTAGCAATCCTTTTTTAGTTTTTTCAAAAAAGTCTAAAAAAATGGTTTTCACATGGTGGTCTTGACCCATCTGTATTAAAGTCACCTGGGTTGTTATCTCTGGGTTGAAGCCAGGAACATGCGTTTTAAATATGTGCTTCATACCATTTATATGCACCCTGAAGTTTGATAACTGGTGACCGGAAAAAGAAAAAAAGGCTGAGATGGTTAGTTCTTTTGAATAGTTTTGTTTGAAAGTTATAATGTATTTTGATTTGGCTACGCATTCCACTTAAAGACTTTGATAAGGTTTGGACTTGATTATCCGCTCTTGGACATTTTTTGAAATAGTTTAGTTTAGAGTAACCGCTATGTTTTCGGCTAGATTGAGAGAAGAAACAAGGATGGTCCTCTCCTGAGCTGGCTTTTATAGGTCTGTTCTCCTTTGCTAAAATGTTAAAACATATTTTCTTTCCCATAAATGATTCTCAGAGATTCCTGAAATAGGAAGGGCCCATATAATCTTTTTAAGGAACAGAACAAGGCCACCACTAACGGTAGCAGAAGAACACTTTTTCATGTCTTTTGTTTTGGTGGGGGGATCCTAGGTTACCCTTTTTAGGTGTTTTTAGTTCATCTCCAGGAATTGACAAACGCTCTCCAGATAGTCCAGGCTCTCTCCGTAGCTGAAAGGCTTATCATCAATTAAACGAGATTTTAACTTCAAAACAGAAAAGTTGACAGGCATTATGAGGTGTCTGCACACATCTCCAGACTCCCCCGTAGTGAACCCTGCTTTAGAAGACCCTCCGACATGGGAGAGAGGGAGACGACGTAGCCGCACATGGGGCAATGCTGTCAGCTGAGGCGCTGGGGACGGGCACAGGCATCTCCTCTTCCGGCCAAGCAGTCTCCTGCCCCCTCAGTATTTCCACCTCTCTCCATGGCAACCCTGCCACAATGGAACGATTATAAAATACAAGAAGGAACACTTCAGTCTCAGGAACAATGTTCAGTGCCAGAGGCCTCTAAGCAAGTTTTTCAATGTTTACTGTTTTTTGCTTGTGTTTTTCTTCATGCTGGAGGAATGCAAGGCAGCCGTGGCCCGTCTCTGGCATCGAGGCACGGCCGACCCCAGGCAGCTCCCTGCCTCTTTGGAGAAGCACCTGTGGGGATCCCCACCCTCCGGCCCTGAAGGAGGCCACAGACCATGGCGATGGGGGGCAGAAATCAGACTCTCTCCAAGCCAGCGACTCTCATGATAAGCAGGGCTTCCAGTTCTGAGAGCTGGCTGAAAAGTGAAAGAGATTTAAAAATGTTAGGGAAAATCTTGTCACCAAAGGTATGAAGAAAATATAGCCAGTGAGCATAACAAAAATGGGAAAATGTTCAGCTAGCTATACTAGTTTATTACTGTTACAAATTGAACAACTCGAAGGGTCTTGTTTTATTTTGGCTACAGTGCAATGAAATTAGACGTAAGGGGTGTTGGTGTGGGGAGATTTTGCCGACTCCAAGCCATCTCACTTGGACTACGGGAAGGTTTGGAGAGCACCACCCTGTGCCCACCCCTGGCAGCCAGGGCGGAGGGGGTGTCACTCATGTTCTCCATGAGAGGAATTTCAGGCATGTGGAGGTGTGAAGCCCACTGCAGTAAGAATGAAGCATTTACATGGGACCCAACAGAAGCAGCCACTGGAGGTTTTGATCCAGGAGTGTGATGTCAACCAAGCAGGATTTCAGGTAAGTGACTTTGGCCATGGTGTGCCGAGGGGAGAGAGGAACTGAAGAGTGAGATTCAGAGGGACCAGTTAAAAGGGCTGGGTTTTCCAGGCAGGGGCCTAGGAGGGCCTGGCTTAGGTGTTGAAAGAGGTAGTGGAGAAGGAAGAATGCCTTTGCCATCTTCTCAGATAAACTCCCCGTGTCTCGTCCCCTTGACCT